GCTGGCGGTGTCGTCACTATAGCCGGCCGGTGCGGTTGTGGTTGTGGAGGACCATACTTGTATTAATAAAACCTATTAATTAATTTTATTTCAAATAAATTACACTTTTAATATTATTTTCATAGTTTTCTTTTCGTTGTTAAATATTTAACTAACTTTCGCCCGCGACTCCGTCCGCGTGAAATTAACAAAAAACAAAGTAAGTAGCCATGTGTTTTTCCAGACTATCCTCTACGTCTACCAATACCAAATTTCATCGTTATCCGTTCAGCCGTCTAGGCTACAAATTCTAACAAACATTCATCCAACTTCTCGTTAACTTTCGGATTTATAATACGAGTATATATTAGTAAATATCGGATTTATAACATTAGTATGATTTACACCTCAATCATACTAATATTATAACTCCGATAGTATGCATTCATCATTCAGTCTTTGAGATATTATTCATTTATAAGATCCTTTTTAATTCCTTGATAATTGATAATTGTATGTGGTATATGAAGATATAAAGATTTTAACAAACAAATAATTTCGAATATCTTCATACATTATTTGTCTTCTTCAATTGACTACTGATTTATAATTTTCCTTTAACATATTACTTTCGAATCACAAGTAGCCCATTGTTTTGATGAGCAATTATGCCGTAACACACATAAAAATATACAGAAGAATTGAGTACTTCCTTCTTTTGGGAATTCCGTCAACAAAATGCTAATTACTCGCAATACGACACGACATGAAATTATCGCGATAGTTTGATATTTAATTCCAAATTATCACCTCGAGGTCTGGAACTGAAACAACATTTTAATACGTAAAAGAGACTTAAATGTTAAGGCCGCAATTGCGCGCGCACTTCTTTGACTAAATTATCGCACTGTTTAGTCGCGCTTGGATTCCTATGAGCTTATATAGAGGTGCGCACATTACTCGACTTTTAGATGTGCAACTAAACAGTTGAATTTGCTGCTAAATAAACGACAATCGCACAACAGTTGTGCTATAGTTTAGTCAGAGGTGAGCGCCCGCTCTTGATCCCAAATTCCATTGAAATGTCTGTAATATATTGTAAGCGGTAATCGTGATGCGAAGTGTTTAAGGTTCCGTTTCAAGTTCGATCGTAAATCTTGTAAATTAAAAATGTTAAATTGTAAAATATATCTAATGATTTGAAGAATTATGTTTTGTAAATCAATACACTTAATTATTAACATATTACCCATCGCATTTTAACAAGGTTTAGTTGAGACAGATTGAAAAAACCCAAAATCACACTTTGGAAAATAATAAACTTTGTAATTTTTTGTAACTCTTGACTTAGCATTATATGAGCACATTTTCTTATCACGAAAAAAGAATAAAGAAGTATAAAGTTATGTTAAATGTCATGTCAATGTCATGTAATGTCATGAACTCATTATCATTGAGGCGTGACTTTAACGTGATTTTAATTTATTCTATTGCCCTACATCAGATAATTGACCTTTATCTCACGTTTTATTCTAGTACTAAAAATACCTTGACATACGAAACGTGATAAGCTGTTTATAAGATTTTTTTCTTTAGAGTTTTGATCAGCCCTTACGTTCAGTACATATATAGGTTGATCTTCCTTGTAAGTCACAAAATTAAAAAAAAAACAATTATTCGTTAAATTAAAATTTTATTTTTATTAAGTAGAACTTTGTAAATTAATATTTAATTAGTACATATAGGGTCCGCCGCAACCGCAACCGCATCTTCCAGCTATAGAAACAACGCCACCAGCGGG